GGTTAAACATGTGATAGTCATGTGGCGTCACGCTGTATATCCTGTGCTTGCCTGAGGGCATCATTTAATTTACTCATCCTTTTCCTGTTCTGGACATAATGGTTCCATCCATTGGTGGGTCCCAAGACATGGGGTTTCTATAGGTTGTGAATGAACTCTTTCAGTCCTTGATACCAAGAAAGCTTTGTCGTCTCCTGATCGAATTAGTTTCGATCTCATGAGTAGATGAGTTTACCATACTGACAGGAAATCAACCAAGAATATGGGATTCATGTGCTGGGTGATTAGCAAACCTTGTGAATGCTGATATCAGTGTCTGTTCATATTAAGAAATCCCTACATGGCTCATGGTTAATACAGGCCTTCTTGTAAAGAAAAATTTTGGAGGATTTCGATATAAGCCAAGAGGAGACTGATTTTCCTTTGCTGTAAACAAAACTTGGTTCTCGCGAGATTAGCATATTCTCACCGGACCTTATGCTACACCTACGTCATCCACTGGAACGCCACTCTCTCGTGAACGTGCGTATGACAGCGAAAGCTAGAGATGACAGTTTATAAAGTTTTAAATATGGATATTTTTCTTACACAAACGCATCACTTTATTAACCTTGTCAGGCCTTTATTAACCCCCCGGAGCTGTGTGGAGTACTTTTTATAATGGGTGGATGCACTTTTTTGGGCTTTTTTGTTATTCTCATCGGCACTAATGATGTTTGACTTTTCCAGTCGCAGATCCCTAAAAATAACATTAAAGAGGTGTGTGAACTTGCAAGTACGATGTCAGACACTGTAATATGCTCTGGTCCCCTCACCGTGGTGATGAGATACATAGCAGACTGTCATCACTCAATGGCTGGATGTCTAAGTGGTGCCCGCAGAATAACATAAGTTTCATAGACAATTACCCGCAGAATAACATAGGTTTCATAGACAATTGGACAAGTTTTTGGGGCAGACCTGACCTGTTGAAAAAAGATGGTCTTCATCCCTCCTGGAGGGGTGCAGCTCTTCTCTCTAGAGATATGGCACATAGTCTTTAGAGTTTGTACTTGACTCTCGCTTTTTTAGACCGATGAGCTTTGTAAAAATCGACGCGTTTCAAAAAGGCGGGGCATAGAGGAGAAACAATAATGTACAGTATGTGGAAAATAATGTGTTTTTTTAACTTTAAACCGCATAAACACATTTCATTACACCAAATACACAAAATAATGTTCTTTTTAGCAGCATCATATGACCCCTTTAATTGATGTTCAACAAAAAAACAAAAAAACAAACAAAAAAAACTGATATAATACAGATAAACAAATGATAAAGCTTGGCTTAATGAATATTAGATCCCTTTCTACAAAAGCGCTTTTTGTAAATGATCACAGATCATAACTTAGACGTGCTCTGTTTGACAGAAACCTGCTAAAACCAGATTATGACATTATTTTAAATGAGTCTACCCCCCAAGATAACTGTTATAAACATGAGCCACGTCCAAAAGGTAAAGGGGGAAGTGTTGCTACAATTTATAGTAATATTTTCAGTATTTCTCAGAGGTCTGATTTCAAGTATAATGCGTTTGAAGTAATGGTGCTTCGTGTAACATAAGTGTTAATGATAAATCCCTATTGACATTTGTACTGGCTACTGTATACAGGCCACCAGGGCACCATACAGACTTTATCAAATAATTTGCTGATTTTCTGTTGATGCTGGCTGCAGATAAAATCTTAATTGTTGGCGATTTTAATATTCATGTAGATAATGAAAAAGATGCATTGGGATCAGCGTTCATAGACATTCTGAACTCTATTGGGGGTTAGACAACACGTGTCAGGACCTACTCATTGTCGTAATCATACTCTAGATTTAATACGGTCACATGGAGTAGATGTTGATGGTGCTGAAATTCTGCAGATGCAGAGCGATGATATCTCAGATTATTATCTAATCTCGTGTATACTCCATATAGCTAAAGCTGCAAATTCAACTCCTTGTTACAAGTATGGTAGAACCATCACTTCTACCACAAAAGACTGCTTTGTAAATAATCTTCCTGACTTGTCTCAATTCCTCAGCATATCCATTAGCTCAGAAAAACTTGATGTTGTAACAGAAACTATGGACTCTCTCTTTTCTAGCACTTTAGATACGGTTGCTCCTTTATGCTTAAAGAAGATTAAGATAAACAGTCCGACACCGTGGTATAACGAGCACACTCGCACCCTGAAGAGAGCACCCTGAAAAATGGAGTGCAGCTGGAAGAAAACAAAACTTGATGTGTTTCGTATTGCCTGGAGGGAAAGTACTTCCTCCTACAGAAAAGAAAGAGTACTGAAAAAATATACTCAAGTAAAAGAATGGCTTCCACGACTCCTTTTGCAAGCAGTGTTTGTACTTCGGGCTGGAGAACGTGAGCATTGTTGTCCCGCACCAAAATCTGAATAATACTGAGGTAGTATTATTACTGACATTCCTGGAAACGAGGAGAGGAGAAATGCTCTTTTGAGTATGTGGATCCACTATCACAGCGGTAGTTTGCTTGGGCGCGCACTGACTGAGAAGGACGGACCCAGCTTGAAAGGAGCTTCCATCACTCTGTGTTAAGTGGAGGGATGGAGAGCGAGCGCAAGCTTTCTTGGAGGGAGTTCCAGCTCTGATCCTCTCCTCTTCCTCTCTGCATTCGGATTAGGACGGTTTCTGAGGCTCAGGATCCAACGTCACTCTGGGGCGGGGACCTTGGCACTTCGGAAACGGGTAGCGTTTCGGCATCCAGGGGTGCTGCTGAAGCCCAGGCTAGGGTTTAGGGTGGGGCTGAGGTGGCACTGGCTTGGCAGGCTGGAGCGGATGGAGACTTCTGGTGACTTGAACCAGCCGCCGCACAGTCAAATTCAGGCAAAGGTAGCGCTCCAGAACCACCAAATTGGCCATGGCCTTGCTAATCGCCTGTTTAGTGGCCTTAGTAGCGTGCAGAGCCAGGTTAGTCGCTGTGCGCAGCTCCTTAAAGGCACCAAGACTTGGGCCGAACTCGTCCATGGTGCGGAGAAATTTGGCCTGGAACACTTGAAGCACATCGTGTGAAGCGCTGAGCCAGCCTGGCCAGCCACTGAATAACCCCTGTTTGGGTTGAGGTAGTCCTGCAGGGCTTAGATGGATGTGCTGCATGGGTTTTCAACCCCAGGGCCGATGGAGGGCACAGATGCACAGCAACTGCCTCTTCCAGAGGGGGGAACTTGCTATAACCTCTTTCTTCAGCGCCGTCAACAGTGGTGAGAGCGGTGGAAGTAGAGGGATTAAGACGTGCCGAGTAGGGGGCGGTCCACATTCTGGTGAGTTTCTCGTGAACTGCTGGCAGGAACGGAGTGGGTCGCTGGTGGGAGGAATGTTGATGGTGTCCCTTCAGGTACCACTCGTAAAGGAGGCCATGGGTGGGATCTTCCGGAGCCGACCAAGCCAGGCCGAGATCCTCAACAGCCTTAAATATGCTCAGAAATTTGCTCTTAGATGTGCCGGATGGCCGCAGGGGAAGGCTTCTGGCTTCTTCCGCTGCCGGGGGCTCCTTCTACGTTGGCGAACAGCAGGCTGACCTGAGCTTCTTCCTTCTTCTGCTTCTTGCTTGCAGAGTCAGCGAGGAGATGATCTTCAGAAAAATTCTGATGAAACTTAGAGGTCGGCTCCTGCCCTTTTGGCGAGTTGAAGCACAGTTGGTTCGTGCAGCTACACGAACGTGAACAAATCAGGCTTCAGTATCAGAATAAATAGGTGTTTCTCCGTAAGCGTGTCAACACAACGGGAGAGAACGTTCAAAAGGGAAATATGTCTCTAGACTTTGCGCATTTATTGTTCCACTGACCTATGTCTTATGTCCTATGAACGCCAATTCTGTGACTCCACTTTTAAATTTTACTTTCAGGCTTCTGCTTTCAAAAACTGAAACTTTACAAAAATAAATTTAAAATGTGCCCATGAAATAAAAACTCAACTGTAACTTAGAAAACTATATTTAGAATGAACTAAAAATAAAGTGTGATTAAAAGTACACTCTAAAAAAAGATGGTTCTTTAAAGGTTCTTTACATGCAGTAATGGTTTTATTTAGAACCATAGCATTCTGAAGAACCCTTTCATGCTGAAATGGTTCTTTGTGTTAGAGTTTAGGGTTCTTTACAACCTCATCATCTGCAGAGAAAAATCGCCACTTAATCACACCAAAATGATAGACTTAAAGGCATCATATGGATTGGATTATGATTGTTTCACTGAAACTTGGTCTTCATCACATCTATTTTTTGTTCTTATTTTGTGTTTTACTCCTTTATGTATTTATTCATGTTCAATGTCAATTGTCATTCAAGGTTCTATTTAGCACTAAAAAGGGTTCTGCTATTGTTACAAGCCGAAGAACCCTTTTCTGGTACTGTTTAGAACTATTTTTCTTAAGAGTGTAGGCTAATGCTGTCACGTTCATGTCACATATGGTATCACATGATGACACAGAAGTGGCCTCAACCACACTTGTGAGACAGCATCTGTCTATCTGACAGTACTACTGATCATTTTATTTTGCAACAGTGACTGGCTGACTGTATATTAAAGAGACATACAAAGAGTGTTCATAACATTTTTATTTTTTAATTTACAAATGAGCATGAAAATCAAACAGTACATCCATTATAAGTCCGGGAGAGGTGTTTTTGTCATTGCATCCGTTTAAGGCTGACAAACCATTACACCACAAACACTTTTTGAGTACAAAAAGATATTCCTAATAGCTTTCATGCACTTTATAAAGTTCTATTTAAAGTACAATTTATGAAGGAAAAAAGTACATGCATTTCAGAAAACCTGATCTTTACTTTGCTTGTTGTACATCATACTTTATATTTAAAACATTAAATAATCTCTTTAAATTAAAAACATTTTGCTTACTGTCCACATACAGACCAGCTGCCTTGCTATAAAAAGAGTGTGTTGTGCTGTAAGCGATTTTGGCTATTTTGCTAACTTCAACCACACACCTCTCTCCAAACCAGCAGCCTAGCATTCTGCAATAGCATGTGTTTGCTTAATAGCAAGTCAAATGAGTTCATCACCCTCAAGTCTTTATGATATTATAGTATCTCGGATGGCTTGGGTTCATCCTTCAATAGAAGTCTATGGAGTTTCTTCATTTGCGTTATCATCCGCCTGGTAAAAATAGCAAGTTTGATCACCTTGAAAAGGTTTCATTCATGTCCATAATGCAGAACGGTCTTAGAGGTGGTGATATTGAAGTTGTGCAACTGTGGTCTAGCTCCTTTATAGCCTGTTTAGCGTTTTTATTCATTTAGGCTTCAAAAAAGGTGCTTTTTCTGACCAATAGAGGGAGCCAATGCATCATGGCAATTAGCCCCTACAACAAAGTGTTGTTCTAGTTCAACCAAGCAAGGGAAGGTGCACTAAATGACTTAAAGTTCGCATACATTGATGTCCATTGTTTAGCTCACAGGAAGCTGGAAGTGGCTTCTAAGGTCAAAGAAGAAGACCTACTAGATCTGGAGAGGGAGAACCGCTCCAGAACTCCTTTTCTTTGGAGCATCTGCAGAAATCTTCTTCTGAACTTCTCTCCCACAAAGGCGTACAGCACCGGGTTCACGCAGCAGTGCAGAAGGCCAAGGTTTTGAGTTGCGAACATGGCGACGTCCACCGCCGTCCGTGTGAAACAGCTGAATTGAACCACTTTGGCCCTCAGGAGGGTGTCAACAATCGTCGAAACGTGAAAGGGGGTCCAGCACAGAAGAAAGGCCACAACCACAGCTACAATGACCTTCATGGCTCTCTGTTTCTGGAAACCGCGTGTACGCAAGAGCCGCTCCACTGTCATGCTGTAGCAGACCAACATGACCACCAGAGGGAAGAGGAACCCGAGCAGATGCCTCATGATACGCGTGGCCAGTCGCCACTCGTCGGCGTGATTCGTCTCAAAGCGTTCTGCACAAATGGTCTGCTGGGAAACTGGCTCGTAATACGCCTCGTTGTAGAACGACGGCAAGGAGAGCAACAATCCCAAGACCCACACCAATGCGCAGGCGACTCTGCTGCACAATATCCTCTGAGTCTTTTGGGACTCCATAGCTCTGACGATGACCATGTAGCGATCCACGCTGATGCACACCAGGAACAAAATGCTGGTGTAGAAGTTCACTTCCTTCACCAGGCAAACCAACTTGCACGCAGCATCACTGAACACCCAACCATGGATCACGGAAAACGCCGAAAATGGCAGAATCAGAGCCATTAACGTGTCGGCCAGCATCAGGTTGAATAAGTAGACATCTGAGGCGGAAAGCAATTGTCTGTGCGAGACGATGACCCAGCCTACGATCAGATTCCCAGGAATAGCCATCAGAAAGATGATCACAAATAAGACACAGAATGCAATGTTGACGGCATCCACCATGGTGATGGAGGAGCAAAGCAACGTCTTCTCATCCACGACAAATTCAGTCAAGTTCAGGAGATCCGTGTAGTTGAACTCTTCACTGTAGAATTTACTGAAGTCATTGATATTCAGAGAACGGTTTGGATCTGTTAGAAAAGGACAAATAGAAAATATTAAAGCAATCTGTGGTAAAATAGTGACATTTATTATTAAATAATTTAAATAATTCTTCCAGCAAGTGATATAGTTTAGTAGTTCAACTATAGGATGTTTAGGGTATAAAAATAGAAATGTTATATAAAAAAATATATATGTATATATAAATCATTAACTTTTTTCTTTGTCTTTTTTTTTTTTTTTGAAATTCACAATAAAAGTTACTTTTTTATTATTTAAAGGGGTCCTAGTTCGTTGTAGTTTTTGAAAAGTGATTTCTGTTAAATAAAATATCTCCTTTTGAAGTGGACTTTGAGCTTTGTAATTTTGCAGATCTTTTTTATGCTCAAACAGCAACATTACAGACTAACTAAAGTTGAAAAAGTGAAAAAGCATAATAGGACACCTTTAAAAACTAGGAGAGATGATTGTGGCGCTAATATGGTAAGTGCAATAATTTAACGACCACGTTTAATTTCGACATGGGTATTATTTGAAAGAGTAAGTTTAAGTTATTTAACGGTATAAATACAAAAATGGATGGATATCTGTTTTATCTATGTTCACAGCCCTCTTAATGACTATCTTGTTTTGGAAGGAAGAGATGTTCGAGCTGTCTTAGCTGAAAATACCTTGTACTTACATATCTTAAAATATGTCAGTGCGATTGTCTTGTCTCAAGATGCACACCAGTAAAGTTTTTAAGGCATTTTTATTAAAGCTATTTAAATATCCTAATTTAACTAGGCCTATAGTCCTGGCTTAAACTAAGCCATGTCTGTGATATGTTCAAACATGGAAGTTATGCAAGAACAGAACGATTTCCTTATTCACATCAGGCATGTACATACATTTAACGACATGATGTGAACGAAGCATATGACCTTGAGTATTTGACAACAGCATTTTCTAACTGACTTGATAATGTTTTTGTCGATCTGTTTCTTCCTCTGTTAGGATGCAGCTGACAAGACAGACTCCAGTAAGAATCCTCAGCATTGATCAAGAAAGTCCAGATCTAACCCATCTAGAGTGGGAATCATCTTGGAAGAAAGTTTGGTAATGGATGAACTGACCAATCTCAGGCCTTCTATGTCCATTTTTTTCCCAGACTGATTTATGCCCTGCACCTGGACTACCCTAAGTGTATGAAAAGCACTTTATATTTTATTCAGCAGGTAATGCTCAGCCTCGGACAAAGTGAGCTGGCACCCAAAATTCAATACTGCCAATATTGTGAACTCAAGAGTGGAAAAAAAAACATATAGTTTTGATGCCGTTTTTTTGTATTTCTGAGATCGACTGTTTATGTGCTTAACAATAAGTTAATTTGTTAAACTAGTTTTTTCATGTTTTATGGAGAAATGTTCTCAGGATATATAAAAAAAAGTCATGTTTTGTTGTGTTCTTGTTTTCAGATTAACATTTGGAATTGAATTAGAAGAAAATAAAATTGTATGAATGTTCCTTTATTTATTTATTTTTGCTTTTTCCCTTAATTTTCTAGTTGAACAAATTGGAAAAACTGATATAGAGTTAACTTGGGAATTAATTTGTTCAATACACTGAACTTAAATATACTATAATAACTGCAAATTGATATAACAAAACATTTTAAGTTAAATAAACTGACATTTTTAAGTTCACAATACTTAATTTTTTTGTGGAGCAATCAGTTTCTTAAGTTTTTTTAAGCAAATTCAACTTATCCAGGTTTACAGTGCATTATTAAAATCAGATTTCAAATTGTGGACTTCTAATTAAATGATCAAATTAAGATATTGGACTTACCAGACATCGTAACTTCTTTTTTGGTGTGGTGCCGTATGTGAGAATAATCCACAGGATGAAATGTCAGAGTTGTGTTCTGAAGGCTCCTTTATATCCTTTGAAGGGATGTTGATATCCTGTTAAGTCCTAAAGGTTACTTCAAGTGTTCAATCTCAACTAAGATGCTCTAATTTTTCTATTTATTTCTCAAAAACTGTTTCTTAGGAAGCATTTTTCCCTTTCACAGGAGACGAGCTGAGACTCACATCTATGTTTCTGATTCCTGAAGGAGATGCAGAAGACGAGGATGTTGCTTTTATGCGACTCCAAGAAAGCAGAAGATTAGAGATGTTTGTTGGGGAAATTTGAAACAACCTAATGGTCACAAGATCCTCACTCGTGTTCAGTCTAAGACATAAACATGATCAAAACACCAAGAGTGAAACTAAGAATCATGTGGCCTAAAATCATCCTCCTATATTTATGATATAAAGTCATGAGGCCATTTAATAGGAATTCTGGAACCCATTCCAAAATATATATGAATACTTTTGGTACATTTAGTGAGATTTTTTTTTTTTTTTAAACGACAGTCTTACAATGGTTAAATTAATGTATATATAAATCTAAATAATACAAATCTAAATAATAATATAATAATAAATATAATAAAATAAATGAAGAAAATATATACAAAAACATTAGGCTAACAAAACAAGCTAACTTGTTTATTTAAGAGTAAATATAAATAATAAATCAATATAAATTAATAAATTCATTATTTACAAATTGTTACATTTTATTTACATTTTTAAATTTTACATTTTTTTTTGATACAATGATTAGGATTTAGGAGAAACAACATGAAGTTTATAGTTATATCCGAAGAAAGAACTTTGAACTTCATGTAGAAAAACCTGCCATACAGAAGTGATTTTTCAACATCGGAGGAAATATGTGTCACTGATGCAAGGCCACACATCATTCCATCATCATCATTTCCCGACCAGGCGCCGAGTGCAACCAATCACAACACACACTGGCCCAGCTAACCAATCACAGCACACACTGGCCCAGCTAACCAATCACAGCACACACTGGCCCAGCTAACCAATCACAGCACACACTGGCCCAGCTAACCAATCACAGCACACACTGGCCCAGCTAACCAATCACAACACACACTGGCCCAGCTAACCAATCACAGCACACACTGGCCCAGCTAACCAATCACAGCACACACTGGCCCAGCTAACCAATCACAGCACACACTGGCCCAGCTAACCAATCACAGCACATTTCGTATTTCAGAACTTCTTCCCACTGGGTTTGTCCTGAAGATGCTGTAAACAAGTGTGTTTCTCACATGAGGAGCAGCCAGTTTCATTTCATCAACTATTTTTAAATGCAGGACATTAAAAAAAACAAAAAAAACAAACTAACATCTTGTGACACCATGACACTTCATTTATAAACATTGATGTGGTGTATAAGAAAATATAATCTATAATCATACTCCTTCCCACTGGGTTTGTCCTGAAGATGCTGTAAACAAGTGTGTTTCTCACATGAGGAGCAGCCAGTTTCATTTCATCAACTATTTTTAAATGCAGGACATTAAAAAAAACAAAAAAAACAAACTTCTTGTGACACCATGACACTTCATTTATAAACATTGATGTGGTGTATAAGAAAATATAATCTATAATCATACTAACTTTTAATGATAATCTATTGAAGGAAAAGAAAATGAACATTCTGTCATTACTTCACCCTCATGTCTTTCTAAACCTGTATGACATTCTTTCTTTAGCAGAACACATAAAAAGATAGTTTAAAGAACGCTGGCAAACAGTTTCCGTTCACATTGACTTGCATTGTATTTTTCATCCATAAAAGTCAATGAGAACCGAAACTGTTTGGTTACCGACATGCTTCAGAATATCTTCTTATATGTTCCACAGAACAAAGAAAGCCATGCAGGTTTGGAACAACATGAGGGCAAGTAAATAATGACAGAAGTGTCATTTTTTGGGATGGACTATCCCTTTAACAAGTATTATTAAAACAATAATTCTCATAATCATGAGAATATATCTGAATATATATTCGATCTGACATTGCTTTTCTAATATTCAGAATAGTGGTCAATGATTAGTTCTTAAAAATTTGCATTTGTTTCCCCAAATCTTGAACATTTGGTAACAAATTTGAATGCAATATCTGTAAAGGATTAAAGTGTTCAAATTCTATTTAGACTGACCTTACTGTCAACAAGGTGGTCTAGCACAATGACGTATGAGGTTAAATGAGACACCTGTAAAACTGAAAAGAGCGTGAATCTGATCCGGCCTCCTTTCTGCTGTGTTCAGGACAGGAAGAAACACTTTTCTGTGTGAAGAATAAGAAGGAAAGGAATGCAAGATGAGATATAAAGTGTATTACAAAAGTATGATATATAAGTTCAGCATTCATATTAAAATATGGTAAGCACAAGAACGGGAAGAAAATCCCAAATGAGGTTTTTTAATATCTCAGCAATCAAAACATTGTCTGCAATCAAACATAAGTGATTTCATTATAAACCCAAACATTTCTCATCTAATTCTTCCAAGTCCAATTTATGTATTTTATGATGAAAGATCAAGAATCTTTGCAAACTGTAAATGCCCAGTCTGTACATAGAGAGACATTCCACCCCCCATTCCATTCCAAGTGCAAACATTTTTCAGACAGAGCATGGAAAAGTGTCCTTCTCAGTTTACAGTCTGTGTAAATGGCAGCGGTTTTCCACTGTGCCAATAAAAAAGAAAGAGGTGAAAATTCTTGTCCGCAAACTCAGCCTCAGGCTGTAATCAGTTTCATCACAGATCCACAGAAGCTGATGCATGTTTACGCTATTTCAGTAAGAATAAAGATGCCACCCATGAATGCTAATGAATGAGCCAAATGAATAGGATTTTAATGGGAAAATACAGAATAGGAACAAGATCCTAATTCTTAAATGAATATGCTACCCAAAAATTGAAATTTTTTCCAATATTTACTCAACCTCATGTTATTCCAAATATGTTGGATTTTCCCCCGTGGAACACAGAAGGAGAAACTATGAAGAATCTTTAGGTAGTTATTTTCCATACAAGGACACAAAA